TGCTGTTACTGTATCTGCAGTTCACTGTAAAACGCCAGAAGGAAAAAAAAAAAAACCCACACAAAAAACCCCAAACCTTTCATATGTTTTTCATTTTGATTAAGCGTTTTTTTCCTTTATTCAGGCAAAGACATTCTGAGTGTTGACTTACTCGCCACTGAAGGACTCAGTACGACTTCGCTATATCGCACGCCATCTGCGAAACAGCAAAGAAGTGGCCACTCCGTTTTGCAGAGAAAACATGCTCCTTCTTACGCTTCGTGTTTAAGCTTTGCAAGGCATTATCTTACCATTTTTCCTGAAGAAAACTAAAATATTTTCAAAAACGTACTTCCTTTTACCTCTTTACACCCCATGTAAAATTGCGAGTTTGAAAATACTTTTCCACTATCATATATATTACAGAATATTTGAACTGTTACAAGAATAGTAAAATACTTCCAAGGTATTTTGATTTCTAAAGATGCAGTATCCTTATTGTTACATTTGTGTACTAAAACCTGATTTGCTGCAGAAATTGACTGGAATTTAAACATTTTTAAGGTACCAATGGGCTTGACTTCATAAGTATACATTACACTGCAACTGCTATGCTATTACAGAGCTGTGAAAATATAACAATCTTTACATTTCTTTGTACACTTCTCCAGTTATAAATCACAGGCAAAGGCATAATATAATAATACAAGCTGGTTTCTTAAGAAGGTAGTATTTTCTTTTACAGGGTTTATTTCCAATTCTTCCTTTTCTGATTTTTTTTTTAAGCAAACTTGTTTATTGCCTGCACATGGGAGGAGACGTGGAAGTGCTGGGGTATATATGCAGGGGTGTGTGGATGAGCATGCCGGAGTAGGGCAGATTTACTGAACCATCTTTAGACTTGTCTGCTGTGGAAGATGCAGTTTCACACACTGCCCTCTCCAAGCCAAAGCCCAAACTAAAAAATAAGTGGGGCACAAATGGTGAAACTTACTCCGATTTTGAGGTATCCACCTTCAATAAAGGAGAAAGAGATTTTTTCCATTAAACAGCATTTATTATCAGAAGATAAATTTATAAATGGCAACTAGAATACATTTTCAATGTGGCTAATGAAAAACGAGACTTATGATCACTGTTATTCCCGTTATTAAAGGGGAGAAAGGTTGTCCAGCTATTTGTCCATGCTCTGCACTGTGAGTTTATCCCAAACATCAACATCACTGATGTAATTTTTAACAGTTAATTTTGTTATACATTACTCCAGCAAATAATCATATATACAAGTCAGTCTAAATCTATTTAATTAATTGTGTAAGTATGATAGAGAATAAGGAATACTGCATCTTCATTCCCAAGTATAAACTGCTGTTGCAATGAGCCAATTTTACAGTGCTGAATAAGACAGGTGCTCAAAAAATAATGACAATTTAAAATTTTAAAAGTTCTGTATCAAAGCTGCTTGCTCATTATGTTTTCCTATAATGCTGGCTACCGAGATTTCCTGACAAATCCATTGGATCCTTTTGGAAACATATGAAATCTGACACTTTGTGGCACAGTTTCCCTTGTAAGCTGCAATGGGCACAGTGGATATTACCCACCCTTTATTACTCGCACTTAGAAGCATAAATCTCTCTTTTTGAAAGAATGGGACATTGTATATTTTTGTCCCAATTGCTCAATTAAGATGGACCTACTGTGTTGTGTCAAGACGAGATCTGGTGTTTCTGCGTGTTAGGTATGATGTAAGCCTCCGCCACGGTTATGAAATGTCACGGACTTGCAGTGGCATACAAGGATTTTTGAGGAAACTACCCTGGAGCAATCACCCTTGATTTTTGCACAAGCACAGAAGTTTGGCGGGTCTGAACTGCAGCCACTGACAGAAGGACGCCCTGAGAAGCCGGGGGACATCAGCTCCACATCCAAACACTCTCCTCCCACAGAGCAGCTTCTTTTAAAATGCTTCTGAAGGAGAAAACAAACCAGAAAACAACCTCAGAGAGTATCTGGGGTGAAAGCCTGTGGGTGCTGGTATGAATAGGAAACTTGCCAAGAACCATACTGGGTACTTGAAACCCAGTGGTGGACTACTGCTGGTTGTGTAAGTTGTCTAGAGGTAACGGCAGCACAAAAAGCCCTTACACGTGTGCTGGAAAGGTTGAGGATATATTTCCTGCCTGTGAAATATGAAAATTTAGTGTACACTCCTTTACCTTTTGGCTTCATTCTGTTACTATTGACACGCTCTCTGCCTGCGTCTGTCCCTTGGCGTGAGTGCTGCTTTAACCCTGTATCACTTTGGCGTTCCTTGAATAAAACCAGACCCTCTTCTGTTGCAGCATCTCCTGTGCATAAACGGATGGGCAACCAGCTAAAAGACAAGGGATTGACACAGACCAACCTCGGCCTTGGGAGATGAGCCTTCCCAAGGGCTGTGATACATGTGCTCTTCCTCGGGGCAGTTCAGAGCTGAATGCTGAAATTTAAGGCCTCTCAATTTCTCTCAGAGGAGTTTTTCTCTTTTCATTGACTACAGGGGAAGCCCAAAGAGGACACTGGTCTCTCCCAGTTATACCCTGCCTTTGTGAATAATATCAGAGACAATCTCTCGCTGCTCCTCTTGCACGCTAGCAGAATGGCCTTAAGAGCTTCTGGTCAACTAAACTTAATTTTATACGGGAGAAAAAAAATCATAGATTCTGAAAGGAATTCTATATGCCATCGGTTCTTCAACTGAATTACTGCTATTCAGGTAATTAGTCAGTAAAACGCTCTTGGGCAGGAATGAATTTTATCAATTGACTTCTATCTGATCCGACTTCTTTACCTAAATGCTGAGAATGACAGATCCATTTAAGGAAATGATATTGAAGTACGTAAAAGACGGACCTCAGACGTAATCCACGAACCACCTCACGCACAAACACTGACAACCAGTTTTTAAAACCCACAGCAGTAACGCTGCTAGTAAAGACCCAGTTCTGCTGCCCTGCAACGTTGCCGAATTTGGTGGAAGCTGTTTACCAAGGCGGTTGATGGGAACTGATAGACGGATTTTCCTCACAATGGGTGTGAATGATTTGTCTTGGGTTTCTCTGCTGACCACTCGGCAGAGGGGAGCCTGAGCTTTAGCTGCATTGAAGTTTTCCTTTCAGAGAGCTGATAAACTATCCGGTACTGGAGAATATTAAGAATGTATTTAAAGACGATCAATCAAACTCTGGGGCCTGTGAATGTTGTTGTAAAGTATTATCCCAGTCATACTAATCCTCAATTAACTGTAATTGCTTTCAGTATCTGTATGGGTACACTGTGCTGTTTTTTCTTAAAGCTTACCTTGATTTCAGAATCCCCCCAAAATTACTACGGTTACTTCAGGAATCAGAAATTAATTCAGACCGGTCAAACATTTAAAAATGAACAAGTGGCATCACAAGTTTAATCTGCGCAATTCCTGGAACCAAATATTCATAATTAAATGCATTGCAAAAGACTTTCATGTATACATCTTTCATCTCTAAGCTATAAAAATCTCAACACTTAAAAAATCTTGCTAAGCCTCTTCTTTGTCAAATTTAGCTGAATAGGCAGATCCTTGTGAGGAGAGAAAACACAAAAACGCTATTCCATTTGCATGAACAACTGATGACTAAGAGTTTCTCTCATTCCTACATAATTCAATTAATACAAATTTGTTCACAATTATAGGGCTGTATGGGAATGATCAAGAATTTCCTTTTATTCAATCTGAAAAGGCTTGGATTGAAAACCCCAGCAGGGGCAGCCACTGGTACCCATATAAAGGGTCATTTATATCATACTAGACAGCTGGCAAAATCTTGTTATTCCCTAACTCCCAGGGAGAAACCTAATGTCTTGCAGAGCACCACTGCAGAACCATTTTGCCTTTCTACGTCGGGTTCATCCACTGACTCCTCAACAATCATCTCTTTCCTTTATCTATCTTGCTTTCCAGACACAAGTATTATGATGAAGGAAATGAAAGTATTTAGATGTGGTACCTAGCAGGTCAGTGAAACCATCAGAAAGATTAACTTAAATGATCTTATGTGCTATTTCTGCATACTCCCCCTTCTGTTGGTGTGGAGTAAATTATTGTCTTGAGAGCCATTTTACTCATTATTGCTTTTTTTCTGCAAGACATGCAGCCGTTTCTTCCGTTTTGTTTTGTTGGTACATTCAATTCCATTTCATGAATGGCTACACCACTAACCTTGGTATCAGCGAGTACAAGATCTATTTCCTTGTGTTCAAACACTGGTCGTGGGGAAGACGATACCTGCATGAAAGAAAACTGCACTTTGAGAACAGGGTAGTAGTTTTTAGATGGGCTCTTTCTATACAAATCAGAAAATGGTTCTAAATAAGTCCATGGTAAAATACAGATACTTAAAATTTTACTTTCACCAGAGATGCTGCTGCCCCTTGTTTATTTTACAGACTTCAACAACAACAACAACAAAAGAAAAGAAAGGAAAAAAAAAAGCTAAAAGAAAAAAGTTAAATGGCTGGTGTCCTCTAGGGCATAATGACAAATTGTGGTACAATATTAAAATGCCACCATCGTTATTGCAAAAGTCTGCTCAAGTGACCCTTCAGCTCCGACAGCAGGACCTCTCCAGCAGAATCTTCTTGCCTACTCACACGCAGCTTGTCTGTAGCACAGCTCGGGGGTAATGCTGCCACCGGCCAGATGGTCTTCAAAACAAGGGGAAAAGATGGGATAATAAAGATCTAGCGGTCTTGCTCTCATCATCATCATCATCATCATCATCATCATCATCATCATCATCATCAACATCAACATCATCATGATCGGTTTGTCATATCTAATCCTCCAATCAGCAGTGATTTTTCAGGAACAAAATATCCGACAGCTGAGAAAACATACAAGCTATAAACATTTTTTGTCAAAGGATGCAGCATGTAAAATAATGCCCATTCCTGTAGCATTTCGGCTGCTATTTCCCAGGTGATTGTGATGACACTTTCAGGGTGTAGCCATGCTGAGGGGCAGACAGGGTTAGCTTCAGATGGCGAGGAGAAGAGTGGCACTTCTTTTCCTGCTTTTTTGTTTGTTTGTTTTTAATTTCTGTTACTATTTTTTTGTTACAGACATCAGGGAAAGCCCTGCCTGTTAACACTGTAGAGGGGGATTCAGCCCTGCTGAATTCACTCCCGGTAGTTAAGAGACCCAGCTCTTAAACTCGGCTGGAACAGGTAGCGTTTCTCAAACCAGCATGTGCCTGCGGCGGTGGAGCGCCAAGTGATCCGAGCGGGAAAAGCTGCGGTCACAGTCTGCACACTTGAATGGCTTCACTCCCGTGTGCTTGCGGTAATGCCTCGTCAGTTCGTCGGAGCGAGCAAACTTCCAGGTGCAGCCTTCCCAGGTACATTTGTAGGGTTTTTCTCCTGGGAGAGACAAAAGAAAGAGGGGAGAGGGGGGAAAAACAGGTGGTGACTTTCCCCTTGTTGCTCTTAATCCCCACAACCCCCTCTCTGCATGTTTCCCGCGAACACCCACTGCCTCAGGGCTGCTTTAGGCCAAATTTCACAATTACGAGGCACCGAATCTGCTGGATATAAGGAAAGGGCCTTGAGATTTCTCATTCCTGTGGCATTCACGTGACTTAAGAAAATCAACAGGATTAAGGCAACAATATAGATCCTACCTTGCAGGGGTGATGCGGGGATTAACATCAGGACAAAGGGCTGTGCAATTATTCTCATGATTACCGTACAAGTTTGTTACCTTCATTTCGTCAGGCTACACTTTCTCCAAAAATAGCCAGATTACCCGATATTTCAGCAATTTATCACAGGCTGCCGCACACTTCCAATTATTTTTATGAAGTTTATGAAAGTTTCTAACTATTTGTGTAAACAACACTGTTGGACATTTCTTAGGAAGCTGGTAAAAATGAACTACGATTTCGCAATTAAACATAAAAATTCAATTTGCAAAATGTCCGCTTTATTTAGTGCACTTACTTCCAGTAAAACTAATTTTGCCTGTAAGATGTTACCAGCAACAGTGTACCATTTTTAAATGTACTCAGCCAGGGGAGCTGCACATGCTGTTGATAAATACCCATTTACTTCAATGAGATCAGACTTAGGCTAAGTGTAGATTTTTGGAAAATTCCACCCTCTGCTTTTTATTTGAAGGTAAGCCCAATGCATGCCCCACATTCTGTGTCGTATCTGAAGAGTAATACAGCAAATCTGGATTTTGTGCTTTCATAAAGCAAACTGTTACAAAACCTCGTTTTTGCCATGTTTGTAGGCTATAATTATTTGCGATTTCTATCACCAGCCCTCAATGTCTCCATGTTAAATGCTCTTGGCAGTTACCTAGATCCCACAGTCGAGCATGCACAAAAACTGATGAAAGGAAACTGTGTGAGGTCCATACGTATCTTCCTTTGGTATGTCAAAAATGATTTTTTACCTCCCCTTCTGAAACCAGCTAATCACAACCAGGACAACGAAAGAGCATCTCTGCAACAACTGTTTCTTTCGTCAGGCACAACCATTCCTCAGTTATTTATTATCTCTTACGAACCATAAGCAGCTTGCAAGAAACTATTTCAATTACATGAGCTGGTGACGCAACACTTGTGTTGTCGTAGGCAGCACCTCCCCCCCATGTGTCTCTTCAAAAGTCAATAAATGCTTGCTGAGAGCCTTGGTTTGAAAAGAAAATTCCCGAGTATGAATATCATCACAAAGTTCAAACAGCCCTGAAAAGTCCAGCTGAAATGGCCATGGGTGCCTCCGTAGGGAAATCGGATGCTGTACAGGCATGTCAGCAGGGTTGTCAGCAACATTTGAGCTCCTTGGGTTGGTACCTTCTGTGCACCATCTGGGCTGTGCTGCAGTTTTGATGTCAGGCGGGGGTGGGAAACAGTTGCTGTGAGGAGAACCCAGCAATCCAGGCTCCGGGGTGACCACAGCCCATAGCTGCACCAGCAGCAACTTAGCCTAGATAATTTTACAGTCCTCAGCCAAGCACAAAGCACCAGTGTTCATTGGCCCTGTGCAGCCGCAGCGCTGGACGCCTGGAACCCAGCAGCTGCCATGAGCTGGATGGGCATGAGCTGCACAGGGCAGATGGTGGATTGCACGCTCTTGCCAATGACAAAGTGCTACAAAACGCGCTCAGATTCACCGCTGAACTGTCTTACATATATACCCTTGCCACAAACAGTTGGTGCGGAGCACCGGACAAATATAGCAGTCTCCTCAGCTGACTTGGCAGGTCCGTCCTAACGGTCTCATCACACCACATCAACAGTTTCCAAGTGGAGCGTTTGCCCGTCCATCCTCAATGTACTTTTAAATGCTCTTTTTGTTTTGACTCCATATACTGTCCCGGTTGGTTTCTTTGACCACAGAGACTTCCAGAGCAGAACGAGGAGGTATTTCCTAAGCTTTGGATCCTTATTTAAAAGCAGCTGAAATTCAAAGTCTCTCCCTATCCCAAGATCCTTCTGCAAATGGACTTTTTGGTAGTCAAATCCCAGATCTTCTTTCGCTTGGCAGGAGACAAATGGAGAACCCGATGCAGAGAGGGCTGGTTGGTGAAAGAGAATTACCAGAAATAGTTTGTCCATTAAAACAGTCTCCACTTTGGGTAAGAAACAAAAGTCAGCTGATGGAAGGACGTGAGTGCAGGTCACTCGGCTGGAGTTCCCAAGTGTTTTTTCCAGCCTCCCTCCTCAATGAGTCCTGCTTACTCAGCCCCTATAGAGCTCCATGAAAGAGACAGGACTAACCACATTCCTCTCAAGCTATTTACACCACTGAAAGCAAATCACTCTCACAAGCTCAACCTAAGAAGACCTTTCATTATTTTCAGTTAAATACATGTGCATAGCATAAGAAGGAAAAAAACAGGCAAAGTAGCATTACTCTGAAGACATTCACTCATATGCACCTTAAAAAAGCCACTGTAAAGAAAAACGTGAAAGATACGATTTTTCATACAATTCTTCATCAACAACAGTTTACACAAATCTAATGTTTACAGGAAGAGTAATAGTATTACTTTCCTGTTAAACGCCCACATTATCTGTGGATGGACAGGTGCTAGAAAAAAAATTCTTCCCAGGCAATACTGCACTAATTCTGAACGTTTTGTTTGGTAACATCCACATATGGAGACTGACCACTGAGTCCTTAAGAACTGCAGTAAAAAACCATAAGATCCAGGAGTTCAAAGGATGGAGATAGGACCAGCAGGAGCAGAATTGCTGGAGGATGGGAAGCTGGTGTCAGACATCACACACCAGCTTTGGCTGATGAGCTTGAGCACTCACAGCTGAAATTCTCAGTACAATTAACGGAGAGAAGCAGGACCTCAGCAGGGCAACCCAGAAAGTGGTGAGTGAGGAGGTGGGCAAAACTAGTTTGTTAATTGGAAGAAACTATCCTCACTACTTATATCTCTATATATCTGTTTCCATTTCAAGACTGGATTGAAGTGAAGTTGAAGTCAAATACTCAACCATTTTGACTCAGACACTTCTGTCTCTCTGTGAGCACTTGAGCTTAAGTGCCTAAGAAACTCTTGGGTTCAAAGCACGGGCACGTTTCAGCTCCTTCGATGGCTTGGCAGCTGCAGGAGCAAGGGTGCAGAGCTACTGTCATGCACCCTGGCACTCAAATTCTCATTCAGCTCTAAGGAGCAAAAGCTGGCGGGGTGAGTCTTGCCTAGGGTAGCGGAAACATGGAAGTGAAGGAGAAGACAAAAAGAATTTTTTTGAAAATGGTAGTAAAGAGACTAAGAACCTGCGACAACTAACATGAGGAGAAAAAGAAAACCGGAAAAAGATAAAACCATGTTAGTTCAATCTTCTGAATCTGTAAAGTTTTAGACTTACAGAAGCTACCCATATGAAAATAAATGCCTGACGCTGTGACCATTTTCACGGGAGTTGACTCTCTACTTTTGCACCTGTCTTTGAGCTCTATTCTTTTGCCCTGAAACCTGACAAAAAGATCCTGAAACACAGAGAAACTGTGTTCTGATGCTATTCCACAGCTCTGTCTTGCAATACATAGACAGTGAACAGTATGCCATGACAGCCATTTACAAGGATCAAGTGGAACCCTGGAGCATGAAAAAGTTCTTCTAGACAATTCCCCGTAGAAAATGAGTATTTTCTATTGTTTGGAGAAGTTAATTATGAAGTTTTAAAGGTATGACTCAATGTCCCAAATGGAATTAGTACTTTTTAAAATTTTCTATTAACAAAACATCTATTTCTCAGAGCCCTCCAAAACCTTGCCTTTTGTAGTCCAGATGCCACAATCCAAATTAATTTAATTACTTTTATGCTATTATTTTTCCTACTCTACCATGACTCCTCTCACTTAAGTACTTAAGAACATAGTTACAATGGTTATTCATTAAATCTCCCTAAACTCATGCAAATAATGAATTAATAATGCTGAATAATGAACATTGTTCAGCCAATCCTTCCAAAATTTTCCGCCCTCCCCACAGCCCAACATCTGTCTTCCCATATCCTTATTCATGTACTCTAACATCCGAAAGATCGTTCGCCCAAGGAAATAAGTACCTCTCAAACTTTTACTTTACAACCCAATGACATTCACATATTCCTTAAAAAAAAAGTCCTATGTGGGTACCAGCAGGAGACCATGCCATGTCACAGATGAAAGGATCAGGGTCTGCTCTACCCTGGGCACAATTTCTCACGCAGTACGATCCTCGGCAGTTATCCTCTGCCCGTCAACTATCTGGCATCATGGTATTTGATGTCAGGTGCTTTGAAGACAGGCACCACAAAACCACCATGTAAATAGTCATGGGTTATTCTGCCAGCAGGAAAACTACTCTGGAGCCTGAGGAAACAGAGCTGGGCTAATGTTCTCTAGGCAAGAAACTTTATTTACTGCAATTGCAGATGCCCTATGTACTCCCTGTGTGCTTGCAGTTCCTTTCATTTGTGTATTATTTAAGCTTCATTTATTCATCATTTTAGCAGGCTCTTGGCAACCATGTCATTAAGTAACAATGAGGTAATGCTGTCTACTACCAGGACAGAAAACATCCCAGCGATCGAGTTGTAAACCAATTTCTTTCTCTCACGTAAACTCACCTCTCTCTCTGGTATTACAGGTGAGTGCCATGTCCCTTCTTATATGTGTCCTCTTCAGACATTCCCATCTATCCAATTCTTCTGCACATGTAATTCTCACCATGACTCTGAGTTACCACCTCAGTTCTCTGTACCTCCTTCCTGCAACAGTACTCAGCATTTTGAAATACTGGTAACATTTTTATTCCAAATAAGAGTCAACTAGAAAAGACACATAAGGGACTGTTTAGGAGTACAGGCTTAGCCACCTAGTCAGATGTTTCTATATTTAAGCTTTCATCA